CAACGTGCCAACAACAGGTAATTCCAAAAAGTTCAATTTTTCTTCCCCTATAGATCTACAGAAGATAAACAACTGCACACAATATTTTATCTAATTCACGTTTCATCTGAGCGCAGATTTACTGAGGAAGTGGGCTTGTTCCTGACTCAATTCCTCAGGAAGTTTAATAAATTAAAATGTTAATCTGTTCTTTCTCAAGTCTCTTGAAGGCATCACAGAAGTATCTGACAGTGACAGACAAAAAATAGCAGGCTATTATGGCATCTACTACTCCGTTAGTACTAACACGCAGAGACTGAGTATCTCCTGAGTGATACCATACGGCGTAGTGTTTCCTGGCACATCCATTCTTCAGCAAGACATGTGTAAGACAGAAATCAAATCCTCAGCGCCAATAGTTATAATTCTTCTCAGGTTTTCATTATTTCATTACGAAGCAGTGCTCCCAGGAACCACATCAACACAACATGGCGCCGCATTTTTACTATCACTAGGTGCTCATTTACCAGCACCAAGTCACTCACATTTTAAAAGATGTTTAAAAACACCCATCGGTCTCCATTATCACAGATGGTTTCTCAAAACTGATTATAAAATTTATTTTATACAAACTTCTGAATGCAACAGTTGATAAACAAAGGCCGAGGAACGACGGCATCTAGCTGGGAATTCCCACTTCCTCCACTGTGCTGCTGTGTGGTCCTGGGAAAGGTAGTTTCCCTTCCCCGTTATTAGCTATATTAGAAAACATTCAATTATTTCATATTCAAAATTGATTACCAGCTGCATCCCTTTCTATTCAGTCTTGATCACAGTATGACAGCTTAGTAGTCAAACTATTAATTTTTGTAACAAGACTATGTAATTACTGACACTAAAATATACAAATATCTACCAGCCCAGAAAAGGCAGCATGTAGTAGGGGTTTTTTAGATACTCCTTAAAAGGAGAGAAGCACAATCCTTAAGTATTTTATATCCCCAAGAACTGCATACAAAAATAGACTGATTGGCTTAAAATGGAGGTTACCAATACCGTCTCAAAATTCTGGGTTAATAACGGAATGACAGCTTGAGCTCTGAACTGCCTTGAGTTTTGGCAGTACTGTATTTATCACAACTGGTTAAAGTATTTTATTTTTTTAGGCAGAAAAAAAAAAAAATTAAAAATGCTTATAAATTGTCTGCCAACTGGTTTGTTTTTTTTCTCTTCTAAATGCCTAATTAAGGTCACTTATTTAGTACTTTTAAAACATATTTTCATTTTTAAATGCAAAATTAAGTTAAATGTCAGCTCGTTGATATTCTAGTACTTGTTGCACTGGGGACAGCTCTATCTAAGCGACACGCGCTTTACGTAGATGAGTCGCTATTTCTGAGCATGACTTTAAATAAATAATTTTAAATGGAACAAAAAGAGACAGCAAAATAGAGCAGGCTCACAAAGCGTTCAATAACGTCATATTGATAGATAAGACTGACAAGTCCAAATACAACTCTGAATTTCATCAACAAAGTTTTTCTTCAACGGAAACAGAAATAGCAAAAGGAGAGGAGACAAATGAAGCCGTTGAAACAGGCAGCTAAAAGGAACACTGTAGAAAGATCCTCAGCTGATGCTGACATGTTAAAATTTATCTACGTAGCCAGGCTCAAAAGGACAGAGTTTGCTGTAACCACATGAAAACTTTCAACTGGATCAAGAGTTTTGTGTTTTTATTACAGGCAGTCGAAGTATTAAGCCTTGCAATATGTACCATGACACTGTGGAGGACCTGCTTGCAAGCCCCAAATTTTCGTCAAGCTTCTGTCATAGGAAATACAAAGAATTCAAAACATTTCATTTCTAGGTGAGGATGGGTGACAGATTCTTTCCTATCGTTATTGAGACAGCATTCTAAGGCCACTGGAAATTTGGGACAAAGTCTGAAGACAGCTTAAAAATAAAAAAGGTCAGAGGAATGCAACAGGATAAAAGAACTCAATCACACAGAGGTCACGGCAAGTCCCAAATTCGCATAAATTTAAATACAATTGTTCTTCCTACAAAGTCATATTTAATGTGAGAAGGATGAAAAGACCTCAGCTGTAATGGCATATACTTTGATGGGATTTTTAACATTTCTCAAATAAAAATTAAATTCCCACCATAAATTTAACAATTTTTTCACTGGCTTCCACACCCCTGGATGTGCTCCTGCCCAGGAGGTCCACTGCCCAGCCTGAGTGCTCCTGTTCCACCACGGACGCAAGGGAAGGAAACGTGCCTCCTGGTTAGCTGCGAAACTACAGGATTTACAACAGGTATTTTTCCTCTCTGGACTGAGAGTTAAAGAATATCTTTAAGGACCAATTTCAAGCCACAGTCAAAAACTAAAAAAAAAAAAAAAACCAAAAAAAACCAAAAACCAACCAAACCAAAATAAAAAAAAAAAACCCAAACCCCAGAACAAAAATACCAACCCAACCCCATCCAAAGACTTTCAGTTGATACAAACTGTTCATCCGTAATGTAAATACTTTCATGGGGACCAGAGCAGCTCCCTCGGACTGACTAGTTGGCAGCACCCATCCAGCAATGGTTTTAACTGCCTTTCTTCCCCTAATATTTCTCCTTCATAAAAGAGGTGTATAGGATGTAAACATCTTGTGAACGATGGACAGCACAGGGATGTGGAGAAAGCACAGTCAGGAAGGAAGTCAAGGGCTATTTAAAATTCATCTGTACCTATGACAAATTAATGAGAAGGCTGGAAGCTTGTTTTTAAAAACACAAGACAGCTCACTTCAAAGACTTTTTGATTATTTTTAGTTTTTTGGGTTTGTGGTTTTTTCTTTTTTTCTTTTTTTTTTTTTTTTTTGCAGAAGAATATGTTCCACTGTTAGCAGCTGCAACTGTTTTTTCTCCTTCCAGTTGCTGGAATTACAGGCATGCTGTTTGTACAGAGATAAAGTAAAGAACAACTGAATGCAGACAAAAATGATTTTCTGACTGCTCTGATGCTCCTTCTGGAGGCTGACTGGACAGACAGCTTCACCGTCTGATTTCAGCCCTCCGCTAAGGAATGGTTTCCTTCTTATTCTGTCTATGGCCATATGCCTTCAGATTTTGCGTTCCTTCTGTGGTGAGGGCCAACTAGATTTTTAGTTTATATTATTTTAATCTCTGCTCCTCCCACAAATCCTCAGAAATGCCTGCCACCGCAGACGGGTTGACTCGGGGATCTCAGGAGCAGCGTTCTGATAGTCTCCACTGCTGCCTCAGTGTGTTGTCTACACACTGTCCCACTGTTTCACAAGATGTCTGTATGTATCTTCTCACTTGAAATCAATTTTTTTACCATTTCTGTGTTATTTTTAGCTGCTGTAAAAGAGGCTCCTTCGGCTTTCCGTGACTACCCTCCACAAACGCTAACAAGTTTCCCTTTCTCCAGCAGGCTCTAGTGTTGCACCCTCTCACTTTCTCTTTGGATTCTTTCACCTTCCTTCCCAGAGTCATTCCTTCAGACACGCTGAGATAAACACTGCCAGATGCGAGATGAATGCAAATGTTTTAAGAGTTGTTCCTTTTTTCATTCTAAATATTAAATCTATATTAACCATGACTAAAAGACATCTTCAGCATATTTTATCATCAAGCTTAATGTAATAAAAAGCGTTGGAGCTTCAGGCAGGAGGCAACAATACTGGTATCAAAATAATCGCCGCTATGAAATGATGTTCTGTACTTCTTGACAAACGATTTCTTAAAACAGTTATTTCTGAGAGCAGCTCTACATCAAGATCAGAACGAAGAAATAAACTGAATTGACAAAGAATGATCAAATTGACAGCAGAAGCTCATGCTGAAAATTAACTCACTAACAATTCAAAGCGATCAAGGGACTGTGTTCATCGACTGCATGACCACCTCTGCGAAGAAAAGGGTAAAGAGCAGAAAAACTAATGATCTCTCTGCTTTTTCTATTTGCTTACTTAAAATAATCAAGACTTTGTGAAAAAAATAGAGCTCAGATATTTATATGAAAATGTAAAACCACTTCGTTATTACTGCACCAATACGTAGAAGCAGCGATACTCTTAAGGAAAAAATTACTGAGTTATGAGTGGTGGATAGTATTTGTTTAATAATGAATGCTGTTAAAGCACGTGCAGCAAGCCTGAAAATTTGCAAGTGAAATATTTCACAATAAACAATAACAGAATGAACTGCAGTCAACAGTGTTTCATACTAATGAAGCCCTTCACATTTAAAATTATCATTTTTTAATTTTTTTTTAAATGTTTGTGACCTATTTAAATCAGAGAGAAAAATCAGTGGCAGGTTCAAAACCAGGTTTCATTCCACGGATGCCCTGACTTCACATGGTGACAAAATGAAGAACTAGCATTTTACCAAAATAAACATTCCAGACTACCAATCTATTCTGTTTTTTTTTTTAAAGGAAGTGCAGATATATCTACAATATGGAAACATACCATTTTGTACCTGGAGTAATGCATTCCTTAGCTGGAATAGTAGGGCAAAAACCAAAGGAAAGAGCTTCATTCGGTTGTAGTGTTTGGCAGTTCTTGCTATTTGTTTAATATCAGCCCATCAAAGCAACATGCAACACCCCGACTGTCTTTGGGCACTCTGAGTCAGACAATTAGGAGAGCTCTCCCTCTGAAAGCCTGCTAAGCTTTTACTACTAGGTCTCTTCAAGAAATTAGAATTCCTAACTTTGAATAAATTATTTAACAAATTAAATGAAGAACAGATGTGTGCATCAGATATTCTGAATTAGAACCCTTAGCAAAGAATGAGGTAATCCACAATTCTAATTTTAAAACCAAACCAGCATTTCACTGAACATCTCCTCTTCAATATAACCATGGTTTCTACAAAATTTAGTTACACACATTTTGAAATTAAACAGTAAATGACTCCAACAAACAAAGCAAAAAAGAAGAAACAGTCATGGAGCGGAGGAAGGGCTTTCTGATTCAAGTTTTTTTTACCTCACAGAGTAGTAAGTCAATGATGTGGAAGACCATGCAGAGTGGAAACTTGGCAGTAAAAAGTGTGAGGAACCACTGGGATGCGTACATGTGAGCTTCCAAATTGAGGTCTGAGAAATGGCTATGCAAGTCTGGTAACTGCTCCTAGAGCAAAGGAAAAAATAAATGCTTCAGCATTACACATTAATCCAAGTTAATCACCTACACTGCCAGCAAGCACCAGGTTGATAAACACTGAAAAACACAACAAAGTGAAATCCTGGCTTCTTCTGAGCAACAGAAATACGCTTCTTCACAAATTTCAGTGCCTATGGTTACAGTTTTTAGTAAGATATCCGCTGTGGATTCTAACACAGTATCAAATAATGTACTGAGACTATACTGAGAAATTACAAAATCTTCAACAGCCGAAAGGCAGAATGGTTGTGAAATCTATGTCATTCATGGTGCATATTTTTAAGTTATTCCTTTGCTGTGTCTTGCTATAAGTGCTTCTGCTAAAACAACCAGATACTAGAAGGAAGTGTTCACCTTGCAGAGCTTGAGAGCAACAAAGCACACAACTCCATCAGACAATTCCTCTGACTAGGAGCATACATAAGCAACACAAAATAATCACCGATAATCCTCCTGTACACTGATGATAAATAAATGTTCAGTCAATACAGGAAAAATCTTTGTTAACATACGTAAATATTGAGCAGACCTTATGCTGAAGTATTAAATTAATTAGTGTGCAATTCTACTCCATCAAGCAGAAAATATGCACAATTTCACATCTGAAAAAAACAGATCATTAAATTAATGGTGGCGTGGTTTGTTTGGGTTTAATATATCTCACAGAGGTATAGAGGGTCATCTACGGGGACTGACTCCAGCAGCTAGCTTTCACTGTGCTCGTAGAAGCGCAGGTCAAAGCTTAATGGACCGTTAGTGACTCCTTATTAGCCAGAGCAAGCACATGTAAAACTTGCAGCTGTTTATTTAGGTTAAATTGCTCTGACTGCGAAATAATTCCACCCGAAAAAAAGAGCAGTGTACTGAAAACACAGTAAACTCTACAAAATGACCTACACTTCATTCGTATTTCATAAGCATCAGGATGTCCTGATTTGCCTGACCTCTTAACCAGCAACATAATTCATAGAAAGTAGGACACTGATGGTGGCAGTCCAACAGATATTCCCGCCTTAAGAGAACAGAGACGTTCTCCCTAAGCAACATCCCAGAATAGGGAAGAGAGAGAGCAAGCAAACAGAAAAAGGAAAAAACCCAGATACCTAACTTTGCTTGGATACAAAGATTAGCAGCAAGATTGGTATATGAAAGACTAAATAAATTAAAATTAAATCCGGCTTAGAATGTTTGGATCCAGGTATTAAACTTCCCTGCCTTGGTTCTACCCCACTTCTAAAAGGAAAGGGGTTTTTATTGTCCACTAGCTTACGGAAGCAAAGCATTCATCTCTTCTTCATGCCAGCATTTCCATTTATAAAAGTCGAAAAATTTGTTACCCTGGCCCCACCTGCATTAACTTCTCCAGCTGGAAAAATTTGCAATGGAGATCTTCAAAGTTATTTCTGTAGAGGTCCCTCAAGCCATAGTCATACATTATTTTCACAAACACACAGAACGCCTGCTCCTCTGGCATCTGTTTGGAAAAATACACAAATATAATTTTAAAAAGGGACCTGAGGCTGGAAATTCTTTATACAAATACCCACACTTAAATATCTTATTCACAATGAATTCACAACCAGCCATATATTAAAATTTTTAGCAAAGCACTCTGAATGTAGAATTAAGCAACTAAAATCTCAGGGGGACTATTCTCCTTGATGACCACCTTGATTTGGCTCTGTGAGACCTTCTTTGAGGAAAACGTGGGATCACATCACAGGTTCATGTAAGTATACATCCCTACAGCAGCACAACTGCCATCAGTGTTCTTTCTGCCAAATAGATATGAGAACAACCAGTATACAACTCTCAGCTACAGAACAACAATTTAAAAAAAGAAAAAAAAAGAAACAAAAAAATGACAAGAAAAAGACAACAACTAATGATAGAGATTTCTACTGAGAGAGACTTGGTTAAAAGGGAAAATTCAGGAGAACTATGGTATAACCAACCCTTAGTGAGAATAATGCTTATCTACTTCCATCCAAACCCCAGGACATCGAACTCTCTGAAGTCAGGTTTCCCACTATGAACAAAGACATAACAAATTTTGCACTCAGAGCATACTTCTGAGCTCAGGAGGGCTGATCCCATCTATTAACATCATGACTTTTTCAGAAGCCCTGTCTCCATAATCTCTATTTCATTTTGACCAGAATTTCTCATCCACTGAGTCTTAGAAGGAGGTACTAAAAGACGAGCTGTGTGAGTCACTCTGAAGTTACATTTGTTGGCTTGAGCACACTGAATGTCGAATTTGTGGGAAGCCCAGTGTCACAAAACCTCCGCTAATAAGACATCTCCCCTGCCTCCCCCATGCCTTCACATAACACCACAATAAGACAGAGTGACTGCAGACCCCAAATCAGGTTTTCAATCACATTTAAGAAAACCCTTTCTTTTGCAGGCACCAGATTGTAAGAAATGAAAACAATTATTGAGTATCAAGAACGACAACTCTTGACCTTTTAGTATATTCACTTATTCAGCCTCTTGCTAACCCCTTATCAAATATCAGGAACAGATAAAAGCTCCGTATTTTCATCAAAGAGAGTTTTAGTCTCTTGATATTTACCTCCAGGGTTTCATCTTTTATGGCTCAGCCTATGACGATGGCCTGTCTGGTCATTGTCATTTTCAGACAGTCTATATCAAAGTCGCTAGTTAGCATAACGAACTGCCAGATCAGCTGCTAAGCTACCTGACCAGGCTAGATCCACCTAGGACAAGCTCCTAGGCATCTCAAAGCCCTTTATTTGGATGGAATGATCTCCACTGACAGCAGATAAAAGCTGCAGACAAAGTAAAGGGAAGAAACGGTTTTACCCTGACCAAAAGGCTTCGATCTGCTCTGTAATAAGATGAATGCAAATTTCTTTTTTTTTTTTTTTGAAAGGTAACAATTATTTCTACTAAAATGACAGATGCTCATGCACAAGCACACCTACCTTGCATGCTCAATCAGACACATGTGCGTTGACAATCATTCCTCCCCCGAGACAGGGAGAGGGAGCGGGAACAGAGGGGGGTAAAAGGGCCAATGTCGTTTACAGGCAGAGGCCACCAAGTCCTCACTCTCAGTGGATGGAGGGTCTCCAGTATTACCAACCCCAAGAATTGAAGATCATAAATCAAGCTTGGTTGTTTTTATTTTATTTATTTTAAGCAAAATACATATTTTTGGCATTTCAATTCTGTTTTTTAGAATTTAGTTACTTGCCCCTTATTATATTTTCTTTGGAATCACAAAAGCCAGAAATTTACTATTTTTTAAAATGAAATTTTAGTTTTTCACATAGCAATGACTCCAAGATGTAGACAACAATGGTGAGACTTACAGTAAAATGATTAGAGTTGGCAACACTGTCCCCCTGTGATTAGAAGTCAGCTGCTCACCTCTGATGGAAATTTCATCAAAGCAGCAAAATCACAAAAAGCCAGGATGGAGGTCCAGGCTACCCAGCCATCCCTGAAATGTGTCTACACTGAAGAGAAAGGGTATCCTGTCCCAGAAAAAAGGGAAAGGAAGGGGTCTAGAAATCCATGCAAAGATAGAAGAGTTAGAGAGGGTCTTACAAGCACTCACAGCACACAGATTGGTTGGAGGATTTGAGAAAAAAAGAATTTGAGGACATCCTGGGAAGCTCCCAACTTACATGAGCTCATTGAGACTGCTTCCCTTCCCCCCTTTCTCTGATTATTTCAGTTTTATATCCTATTATGAAAGCAAATGTTATAAAGGGCATATTAAAATGAGTGTAATTGCCATTTAGCATTCCCTGTGTACAGGGCAATTTCTTCTAACTGCAGAAACACTAGAACCAGCGGTGATTCTCTGTAGTAATGACAGCATACGACTGAGAGGAGCTGAAGTATTAGTCAAATGTTAAGAGTGTGACACCCCCTCATTTCTAAACAGCTCTGGTATTGGAAATGGTTTATTCTTCCAGTGGAATTTAAAAATCCTTCTTTGGTTAAAAAGTTAATTGCAAAATAACTGTTAGATAAGCTAATTTGCAGTATATGTGGGATGGCAATAATGTGACTAATTTCAGGTTTATCCTTAAAGACCCTGAAGCTTCTCTGTAACACTGTCACCGTATCACGCTCCTTAAGTCTTCGAGCAGTCATAGAGCTCACTACGAATTACAACTTAAATTCATCTGATCTTGAGTTCTAGATGCCTTAGGAATATATACCACCAACAGCTGACTCAAAACCTCAGTCTGAAATGTATTTCAACCGTGATTAATGACTTATTAATTACAGCCTGATAGAAAAAGCAGATGTGAGCCTGAGTAAGAGTTGCTGTTGGGGTTTTGGGTGGTTTATTCAGATATTCCTCACAATATCCACATTGCTTAAATCTGCTGCTTCCCACTGAAACCTTAAAGCATCTTGCAAATATAATAATTGCGTATTTATCTATCTCTAGACACACACGCTTGTGTATATCTAGGAAGCAACAGATCAAAGTTTGTACAGGTTTTGGTTACAGGGTAAAATATCAAGGTTAAAATTCAGCTTTCACTCAAAAGATATTATAAAACGTCCCTAGGAGAAAAAGTCTCACTGAAAATTAATGAGACTGCTTGCTCTGGTTAGCTACCCTGAAAATATCTCCCAAAGTTAAATTCCCCAAAAACACAAATGGAATTCGCCTACATGACAACTGAATTAAAAGGAAATATTAACATGTAACAAATCAGTTTCAGGTTTTGACACAGAAGCACTTGACAGTTTAATGGATTTCTCCTAGATAAATGAAACTACATTCATAAAGACAGAAGCCATTAGTCACTATGTGCCAAAAAGCAACAAGAGGAAAATGAATACAGGCAAATAAACAACAGTAAATATCTGTCAAATAGCATGTTACAGTACTACTGATTTTAAAGCTGCTTTAGTTTCAAGTATCAAAGCTTTCATTTTGCAATTAACTCACATGCAGTAGAAGCACAGCTGCAAGGAAAGACTGTCCCTGGCAATAGCCAATGTCTTCATCATAGACAGAGTATGCCTAGAAAAAATAAAAGTCAACATATATTTAAAATGCACGCAGGCATTATCAAATGCGTTATCATCAATGAGCTACGCACAATCTGTAACACTATGCAGGCTAAAATAACGAAGGGGGTGAAACTGGAACCATTCTTGCACAGGCTTTCCAGGCATTTAAGAAAACATCTGCAGGTCACCCCCAATCTTCCACAGATGCTGTATTTGTAAATTTTTATTTTTCAAACAGTGTGAAGAGAGTTGAACGCAGTAAACCAGGGATAATTCCACAGAGGTCAGTAACGACACAACTTTAATGACATAACAAACGTGATATAAGAACCAGGCTAGTTTGTGTTGTGGGGAAGTGCTTGCTTGGTTTTGGAAAAACAAATTCTTACATCTTGAAAGTATAGGACCTAGGGTTGGTTGTTAGAAAACAACTGAGAACTATTCTACCCGTCAAATTTCATCAGAAACACTTTTTCCATGTAGACCTGAGGCTGGCTGTTAGAAAACAACTGAGAACTATTTTACCCACCAAATTTCATCAGAAACACTTTTTCCATGTCCTTGTTGTGCTGAAGAATGAAGACAACTCATTTTCCTACGGAAAGATTGCTATACCACATTTTTCTTAATCTTGAAAAACAAAAATGAAAATAACCAACCTCTCCTTTCCCCTTACTTTTCCAAGACAAGAAGACAGATACTGTTTTTAAAAGAGATGTCAGAGGATGTTAAGAATTTGAGGCAACTTGAGAAAGTATAAGCAGCAGCGGGACTGACATCGGAGAGGGACACATCCTGAGAGAACAGGCAAGGTACTAAGGTTACAGCAGGGGAAACAAAAGCACAAGGTCAGAGCTATGGGGAGGAACAAGCCACAGGAACCAGAAAATCTGCTTTGCCCCCACACCACCTCCAAGCCTGTTTACGGATGAGAATGTTTCCAAATGGAATACTGTGCTTCTCCTCTGGTTTTAAGTCTTGAATCAAATCAAGGTTGCAGATTCACTCAATGGAAGCGCCGATAGATTGGGAATAAACAACGTCAGGTGTGCCGGGGAGCCAAACCCACCTGGGTCTATCCTACAATAGTTCAGAGGCAGCTAAGCCACCTCTTCCAACGGCAGGAAGCATTTTGTCTCAAAATGAGATGTGACTCCTTTCCAGCCAGCAATATTTATGTAATCGCCACTAATTTCTGCCAGAAATGTTGAAATGGAGGCCAAAACGTACGGAAAGTCCTTAAACCACCTTTCCTAAGAAATCAATCTTCATAAGGAATTCTGTAACGATTCCAGAAGAGATTTCTGTAAAAAACGGAACCTGAGCGTTCCGTTAAAAGGTCACTGTTTACAAACAACTCATTCATGTGTTTCCTAATACATTTGCAGCTTCATGAAAAACTGAACTAGGACTTACAGCTCTTTGCCACTTGTCTACATCGCTTACCATCCTTTCGAAGTATGTTAGATGGGAAGAGTTAGAATCCAAGTGAAAATAATCCCAAGCCCTTGCTCAGTTTCAGTGGTTAAGCAAATACACGACGACTAGCCACACAAATCATTGAAACACATTTAATGAACCATTACAATCTGCTTACTAGTTTAAACCAGGTCTGGCCACAAAAATCACTCCAGAAGCATACAACTGCAGACACTGGAAAAAACCTGAATTTTGGATCTTGGAAAAAGTGACTTTAAAATCCCTCTTTAGCTACTAAGCACTGAATTAACAGAAATTCTTTTCAGTACTTAATATGGCATATGACTAGTTAGAACCATCTACTGGTTAATAATAATCAAGAGGAGTTTTTACCTATTTGTTCCCAAAAACCATCAGTTTATGGACAGCTAGTACTTTATTTCTGTAGCATTCCTAATAAAGGTATTATTTCTGCTTTTGAAAGGCCAGCTCCACTTACAAACAGATATACAGAATTAAAAATAATAATCTGATTTATGATTTCTTCATATTATATAAAAACACTTTTATTTTCCTTTAGAAAACTCCAGGCTAAAAAATAAATAGCAAATTATCAACGCGTGGGGGTTCCCTCTGTTGTGAGAAGCATTATTAGCACAGTAGCTAATAATTTGCTGAAAACAACAATAAATTAATCCAAACAAGTTTTAAAATAACTGTTGAGAAACGAGCACACTGGAGCAAACAAACTGCCTCCAAAACTGACACAGACTACAAAGTAAGGACCGTTATCAGAAATAAAAAGAAACTCCCTTTGAGATTGTGAGAGATGTTGGCATCGTGGCAAAGGAAGGAAAATGGAGGAGGGTGCAAAAAAATCCTCACTCTGCATGTTAAACACAAAACATGAAGGAAGACCACGAAATGTTCTCATAATCAACTTCCTAAACACATTAAAAATTTGTAATAAATCCATTTTCTAACACATCCAAGGCAGGAAGGCAGAGCCTCTACTTGGAAAATACATGATTGAGGTAGAAAAATGGTATTTAAACTACAGCAGAAAAATCACATCAACTTTCTTTGTGTCTGTTTTATTACAAAAGAATCCCAGGAGTTGTCAACCTGCTGGAAGCATTTTTAACAGGGGATGTGTTAAAGGATCTGTCTCCAACTGAGTATCAGAAGAGATGATGAATTAAAAGGAACAAAAATACTAAAAAAATTATTAAGAACAGACAGTATTCACCCAAAATCTCGGGGGGGAAAAACTCAACTAAACCAGTATGCCATTAATTGGCTGATTAATTCAGAAGAATAGATGATCCATTTGAAACAACTGGAAAAAGAAGTGAGCCACAGAACAACAAATCAATAAGTACTGGATAATTTGGTCTAAAAAAAAAATATTTCAAATTAATTAGTGGACATAGATATACACAGAATATAAAAGTGAAAAACGTCTGAGGGCCCCAGCAAAAGGACATCATCATTAATAAATCTTTGAAGCAACAAACAACTATGAAAAAAAAATTAACTGCTTGAGCTGCTTGCTTTTTAAAATTAATTTCCACTAGGTCCTTCTCCAAAATCTGATCTCCACAAGCAGCTGTTATCAGATACTTAGGTACTGACTTCAGTTCTGCGTGAGAATTACATCAAACTGGGAAAGACTGCTGTGAAGTCAAAGCATCACAATCCGGGCAAGTAAAGATTTATTTTTTTAATGAAGTCTCTAAAATCTACATGATTTCATTGTATTTGCCCAAAGCAATGAGATTTCTGAAGCTTTACACACACTACAATTCCAATTATACTTTTTTAGTTTTAAGTAACCTGTGGGATTTGATATTGTTGAAATACGATGTAATTAACCAAAACAGCCTCAAAAAAAAGGATGCTGCCTAAAGTTAACACCGTAATATCACATACCAAGAAAAGATCTAAGATTAATTATTTAAGATTTATCCTTTTAAGGGACTGAGGAGCATTAACTTTGTCTTTCCGCATGAGAAACGAAAACAAAGCAATAACCCAAATCTCCGTTGCTGTTGCAGTCATTGTAACTTCGTAATTCCAAGAGAATGGGATTTTTCCCATAACAACCTGTGACAACGCTGCAGTCTTTTAAGCTATTATTTTCTTACACTCTTGGGGAACCTCCGATCACAATACTCCAGTTAACTGAGATTTTAAATATTCTCTGTCTCATAAATGGGACTTAATGAAGATTCTGACTTGAAGCCTACTTCCATTCATTTTAACTAAATGAAGATCTCACCGAATTAAAGCGTCTTTTTAGCAATAATCTGTTTTCTGATGAGAAGAACTACTGCGCCATTATTAGTATAACATTATTAGAAAGAGAATAATTTGGAGGTAACAGAGTCTCCTCAAATAAAGTCAGTGATGGGGAACCACCTGCATGTTGGGAAGGTGAATGACGAATCCAGAGATGGACAGAAATACTTCTCTAAAATAATTAAAAGAGGAAAATCTCCCAAGATTAGAATCTTCTGTAGACAGGGAAATTCCAAGTAAGTAGCATTTTGAAGACTAACGGAAAGGCTGCTGATTTGAATTAAAAACCTCAGATATGGGATTTCTGCAACTACTGTGGATGAGTCCCAGGAGTTTTAAAAAAGGAAGAATAGAGAGTACATCGCAAATTCCAGGATGAAATGTTTTTCATCATTTTGCATCCTCAGAAGCATGAAAATGATTGCTTACACTTGCTGAAGGTTTAACTGTACTTAAAACAACAAAACGAAAAACACTATTAAACAACAGCTTAAAATCCCAGCACCAATTTGACTTTACCATAGTAACTCAATGACATTAAAAACTAAACATTCCATCAGAAACTGAAGAGAGCCATGAAAAATATTTCTCTAGTGTCTTCCTCATACGAAGCTCTCACATTTCCAGAGCTTTCATTGCCCCCACACGCTTCAAAGCAATGCAGAGGGAGAGGCAGGAGCAGAGGCTCTACCATCAGAAATTGAAGAGAGCCCATGAAAAATATTTCTCTAGTGTCTTCTTCTTACGAAGCTCTCACATTTCCAGAGCTTTCATTGCCCCCACACGCTTCAAAGCAATGCAGAGGGAGAGGCAGGAGCAGAGGCTCTACAGATCTCCATCTCTCATCTGCAATAACGGTCTCTCTCTTGTCAGAAATAATGTTTCCTGGCACAGGAAACACGCACTTCTCTGAAAAAGTGACAGGCACCCTGGCTTGTTAACAGCCGTACGAGACATCCAGCATCTGTGTCCCAGGAAAAAGGAAAACGTAACAGGAACTGAATGCAAGCTTTTGGGGGGAGAATTACAAGCCTGATTTGCTGTCGTTACCTGCCTCTGTGTCGCCACCAAGATGACAGAAATGACGCAGGGATCTACTGAGCGTTTGATACAGACACAGCTCTGTGCGCAAGTCCCTTTCAGAAGAGTTAAAAGAATGACACGGTGTCTGAAAAACAGACTGCCTCAAGAAAATGTCCATAGCTTGATGCAGACTTCTCATGCAACAAGGTATTTTATGACATGCTTGGCCAGTGAATAATTTTAGTGATGGTGTAATTTAAAACTCCATACCTGAATTTATTACAAGGCTAACAGTCTGAAAGTACTAATATTCTTCGGACTGCAGCATTTAGGATGTATCACATTATACAAGGAATTTCTGTGTTAACTGAAAACTGTATTTTTAGAAATTAGTTACTCATTTATTGAGTATCAGGGAGAGGCACGTGTTTGTTACGCAATGTACCTCCTCCAGAGCTAGAAGGGCTGAGAGAATGAAGAAATCTTTGCATTTATTCGGGCAGGCCTCCGAATATACTAAAGCCTTTACTGTCTTTCCGGCATTCAAGATCCACAGTCCTGACCTTTCCACTAGTACAGTCCCATATGCAAGAACAGGGCTACTGCTTCCTTGCTGAGCACAGATGCACAGAGAAGGAAACTTACTAATGTGGAAATGGAAGAAGAGAACATTAAAAATCCTTCATATGAAACAAGACAGCAACATTTACTGAAATTGCTCTTTAACCCAGGAGTAAAGAAAATAAACAACTAAAAGTAGATGAAAAATAATTCTTAACTTATTCTGTTTATTGCTATTGGCAAACAGAATCCTATAAGAAAGAGATCGGCTCTCTGACAAATAATTAAACCAAAGCGGACAAACACTGACACTTCCCATTTGTAAATCTGAGGAGATACTAAGGATTGAAACATGTGGAAGAATATGTGCGTGCTGAGAAGAGGCGATCATCTGAAAAAAGACCTTGCAATGAAATGGAAATGGAAATGTAAAAAAAGGATGAGAGTTAGTCAATCAGCTTACAGGACAGCACTAAGCAGCAGTCCTGCCATGCTGAAAGATGAGCCAAAGAGTAATCCGTCATTTGTAGCTTATCATGGTATAGAAGCTACCGGTCGCAGAAGAGCAACTCAAAGACATTTTCACATTTCAATTTTACAGCAAAGAAAGCCAAAAAAACCCATACTGGAGCCCACTCAGTGTTAGTTAGGTACTACTAACGTGGTACCAACAAACAGACAGACACCGGAATGATGACCAAAATGGAGTGTTTCGTTTCCCAGCAAACTGGCTGTCACACCAGTCCCGCACACAAAACCTGCAGGGAAGTATGACTGGGATTAGGACAAAAACTACAGATTTGATTAAGCAAGAAGATAAGTATCTAGTAACAAAATAAGTTATGATACAAATGATTCATATCCTCCCATAATGCCTTTGTTTACTGGAAAACACTAATACCTACCTTGAGCCTCTGAAAAGTAATTCAACCATTTTCAGAAAAACAGGGAAGCGCTGTGCCTACTTTTCCAGTTTGCCCAGTAAGAACGCTCACCTAGCTAACCTGAATGACTTCCCTGCAACACACTCCTTCTCTCCTATCAAAGTTGAATTTGTTATTTGTTGAATACAAGTTATTTAAATCAGAAAATTAGAGAAAACACATCTCACATTAAATTCTGCACCGCATACACTCCGAACAGTT